TGTCCCCCCTCCCCCCACCCCCCCCCCCGCCATGACTTCCAAACGGGAAACGGGTAGCGAGGTAAGAGGGGAAGCGGCCGGGCTGAGCCCGGGTCGGCGTCATAAATAAAAGGAAGACCCGCTCTTGAAGGTTCTCCATCCGGCTGTTCGGTTATGTAACCGGCGGCGAGTAACCCGGAAAGGTTTCGGAAGGGAGAAGGAAGAGGAAATCTCCAGGAGGGTTGCTTTGTTGTTGTTGAAAGAACACCCCAATCCCCCCTTCGCCCTCCCCCCGTTTCAGTCCGAAAGGATGCCCGCACCAAAAGTGGGAGGAAATTTCTCCTGGTCCAGAACTCTTGAGAGAAAGCCGTCATATATCTCTTTTTAGAAAGAAGAAAGAGACTAAAAAGTGTGAAAATCGCGAATAGAGCCACCCGAAGAAGTCAAAATGTATCAAAACATGTTGGGCAAGTTATATGACCTGCCGAACTAAGTTTGGGGCCATTCCCCTCATTTCTGTCTGGTACAACAGGCCTAGCGTACTTGCTGTTCCTTCCATTTTCAAAACACTCCTGTATATTTTAAGTAGTAGAAAAGTTGGTATTCTGTTGAATTTCTTTGTCTCGGCCACAGAAGGTCTGTAAGAAAACAGGAGAGAACAGCAGCCACTTTGGTGTTAAAAGGTCTAGTTAGGACTGGAGTTGGTGTATCTCATCCTTTATACTACTGGGACAAACAAAAAGGTTATTAGGCAAAATAGAATTAAAGGGAGTGTTTGATACTTTCATTCAGGAAATGCAGTTGACTGAACTGTAGTGTTTCACTGTAGTGTGTCTGAAGGCCCAAGAAACTATGGGAGGTAATATGTAAACTGGGGCATAGAAAAGGTGAAATACTTGCTGCTTTTCCAGTCTCTGTCATTTTCATGTAGTGTGACAGCTGTTCTAGTTGAGTTTTAGAATTTGTTGGTCACTTCTGGTCTGGTATGTTTTTGTCTAAGAAATATTCTAAATTAAGCTTTTTAACATTTAAGGCATCACATTTTTTACTTGGGTAAACATTCTGTATATAACAATGTGAGCAAAGTGATGTCACACTCTTGCGTTTCATGTGGAGGATAATGCTATCAATGACTCTGATCTTGCTAGCCACAATATTCCAGTAACAGTATGCCTCTCAATACTAATTGCTGGGAAGCACAAGTGAGAAAATGTTTGCTGTTAAACATTTTGCTTGTATACTTCTCGTAGGTATGTGAGTGAGTGGTTATGAACAATATCCTCTTGTTATATATAAACTGAGATATTTGAAAACATACCCTGCTGACCACACTGTATGTTTTTCAAAATCAAAGTAATTTCAGAAAGTTTCCTGTTCTGAATAAAGTTAATCCCAGGACAACATTCAGAATGAAATAGGAAATGTGCTGTTTCTTGACACAAGTGAGCCACAGGATAGAAGCAAAAATGAAAATTTATAGTTTGTTTCTGTAGAAGCAAATTAACTTACTAGCTCTTCAGAGAAAGGCCTATAGGCTCATGTAGAAGTTGATTTTTGTCTGAAAAAAGTCATGTTATATTAAAACCAATTGGAGAGGTTAGTTTTGAATACCCTCCTCTGGATTAAAGCAAAAGCAAAGTGTGCTGTTGTGTGCTATGTAGTGCCCCACAGTGCTTAAAGCACTATGTGGTCAGTTTAGAATTTAATGATGCAGGCTACAGATCCCTGCCCCCTCCCTGCCCCTGCAAGCTGGGTACTCAGTTACTGACCTTAGAAAGATGGAAGGCTGTGTGAAGATGGAGCTGGCTATGTGGGATTGAACCCAGGTTATGATAAGAGTTTTGGCTGCAGAACTGCAGTTTAATAGTGCACCATGGGGGCCCTAGATTTGATCCTTTGCATTTCTTAGCTGTCTATCATAATGTTGTGGAATAAATCTTTTAATAGGGGTGTATGTTACAATGGGACTATAAATAGAAAGGTAGGTGAATGATTGCTCAAAACATGCTGAGATACGAGTGTATGCTTTCGTTTGTAGTGCAAGAAGAAACCATTTTAGGGTGACAGTGGGAAAGTTTAGAAGCATACAGCAGGCTCCAGGTATTAATATTTCTGCCTGAAACTATGGCATTAGCATTAAGAGAAGACTACATGTACACAAAATTAATTATTTGCTTTGTAGCCTCTGTCATGGTCACACAAAATGAAAAATCTCAGAATGCTGCTTCAGTCTCTCCTGGCTGCAGCAGGAGAAGGTTGAAAAGCCATGGACCTTTGCTTCATTGTTTGTTTGATATAACATCTAAACACAAGGTGTTTCTCTTCCTTGGTTAATTTTTCTCCCAGCAAGCTGAACATAAGGCATGAATGTTTTCTATGGTTTATTGGGAGAGAAGCCAGAAGAAAAATGCTCACATTTGCATGACACATAAACAAAGTACAGAACGAAGCTTTGGTTTTCTTCAGCTGCAAGTGAAAATAATCATTCAGCAGGAATCATTAGCGTTGCATTTGTGAGAAGCTGCACTTCCCATGATTCAATAATTTATCATGTCATGTGAGCACAGCCCCTGATCCTTGCATACCAGCATTGTAATCTAGCTTTGAAAAGGTGTTGCATTGTTGCAGTCACAAAATGCTTAAAATTGTTTAGATATTTTGATAAAATCTTCAGGTGGTTAATAGTTAGAATATTCATATGTTACAGGCTTGTATATATTAGAGGAGAAAAATGAAACAATAAGATTTTAGTTTTACAAAATTAAGTATTTCTGTAAAAAGATGCAAAGGTGTTTATGGCTGAAATCCTGTTCAGATTGTGTAATGTGTTGCCATAAATTAAGAAATCTCTGTTGCATTGTTGCATACTGAGTCACATGACTTGGCATGAAATGGATAAGGTCCATAGAAATTTCTTAACTTATGGCAATTTTCCACTTAAACAGTACAGCATTTGCATAACTGTGCAAGGGGATGTCAGTCATTACTCCTTTAAGTGCCCACTCTTACACAGTTGGGATAAATTTGCCAAAATTTAGATTATTATTATTATTTTTTTGCAAATTGTTGAACTGCAGAAATAGTTTCTTGTATGTCTCTATCACAAGTGCTTAAGAGTGTTCAGTGAACAGACATTTAACCTTTGACTGAATGCTTTGTTTTATTTGTGGTGATACTTTTATTTTACATTTAAAGGTACATAAACATATAAAACCTGTATGGGATGGGGAAATGACTACTACCACTCTCCCTTGTGCTTGCTTTAATCATGGAAACTCAAGAGAGGAGAGGCTGCTCTATCTAGTGCTCTATAGGAGCCAGACCTGAAGGTTTGGCACTTCTGGCTCATGTGGAGAGGCTACCCAGATAGAACAGTTTTCAATATTCAAGTTGCTGCCTTCTTGTTACTAAAGTAACTGTGGAAGGGGCAAGACTAGTGAGCTCTCCTTGTTACAAATAGCCACGTGCTTTAAGTACAGTGTACATCTAAGCAGGGTTGTAGGGCTGAGGCAGATGGTGTTGGTTTGTGTCTGTTATATAGGATTACCAGGGTGGGCGGCAATTGCATCATATGCCCCTTTCTCTCACATTTACATTTCCCTTTATCCTGCTTTGGCAATATGTCTGACTAACCCTGGGCATTAGAACCTCGGAGCCAAACCAGAGTAAAGATTGATGATGGGAGTCCTATATGCAAAGGGAGAAACTGGAGGCAGGGAAAGTGTTTATGGGCCTGAAGTTTGTTCTCGGTCTCCTAGCCATACTTAATAGAAGTATATTTTCTGTTTTTTTAATTTTCAAAAGATAAGTTTTCTCCCTTGCAAATGGAAATTGAGATAGTTTTAGGAAACCAGTTTCTGCATTGTATATTTAAGATATTATAAATATGGTATTATTGCAATCAACGCTCCCTCTCATGTTCAGCCCTGCTGGGTGGGGTTCTGCCTGTTGCACACATGGCTCTGCTCTCTCTGCACGGCGACTCTTCCCCTCTCTGCGATATTCTGTTGTGACCAAAGGGGCTGGAAATGAGTGGGTGTGTGGAGGAGGAAGAGGAGCCCTGTGTGCTCATGCAGCCATGCACCTTAGAGAGGGAACCTTGATTGTAATGTATTTTAATTATTTTTTACATATAAAATACCATTTAGAACAGCAGTTTGCTTTAGCATTCACATTCTCTGTAAAATTTGAGTTCTGTTATGGAGATTATTTAGGTTGAGCATAAAACTAAAGACCAGCTTTCCCACTTCTGACAGTTTTGTTCACATCGATGGGGAATTTTACTTATTTTTTTGGATAACCTTAAAAGTGCATGTAGCCAAAAAACCTTTTGTTTCTCAGGGCATCAAGTTATCAGCAGAGGTCAAACCGTTTGTCCCCAAATATTCGGCGGTAACAGTGGCATGGTCAGAACCCTCAGAAGCATGTGTCTTTCCTAGATATTATACAACATGCTACCCATATGTTCAGGAGTCATCAGTGGATAAGTATGTACCCTTCTACATCTCATTTCTTGGGGGACTGTTAACCTGCTGAGGTCTTGAATTAAGATTTTTTAGCTCTCTGGCAAGTTACATTTGTTTGGTGATTAACTGACATTGCTTCTTCAACATTTTAGGCCAGAAAATTGTACTTCTCACAAGACATTCCAGAGGTGATATAGCATTGGGCTTTTGCCACCATTAGCAGAATGATCATAAATCATCTGCTAATTTCAAAGCTATATCTCTGATGCTGTGGGTTTTTCAAGAAATGTCACATTCGACTTTCTGGGACATTGATAACTGCACTCTTTATTTATTTATTTATTTATCTGTCTGTCTGTTTGTTTGTTTATTTATTTATTTATTTGATTTGCTTTGATTTCTATCCTGCCCATCTAGACCAAAGGTCTACTCTGGGCAGTTTTAAAATTTGCCAGTGTGGGATTTGTGGGTTTGGGTTTTGTTTTCACTTTCTGTGTGGGCACCTTTTAAAAATCGACCCTATAATCTCAAAACCTCATAGCAGCAATTATGTTTCCTATGTTGAAATACCTATAACTGAGAAGCATTTTTTCTTTGTGAAAGGGAAGGGAGTCTGAATTCTCTAATGAGCAATGGGGATAATTGAAGTGCTGTCCCTTGGAACAAATCATGTCAGTTGCAGAAAAGAGGTCATCAAGCACAGAAAAAAATTGTGAGCAATTGTAGCCATCTTGACCTTCCTCATGGGGAGAAGACTTTTGTCCCGATATATATCAGTTTTATTGTCGGTGTAAAAGTCAACCATACAATTGTTTCAGCAGCTTGTATTCCTTCTACAGTATATAGATTGTAAGTTTCCCCATTTGTTCTATTACTAGCATATGTTTGTGTGGCCAATATGAAAAGAGGATTGTGTTTGTGTCTGGCTCATGAGAATATATGCATCCCACAGGCTAGATGACTGATAGAAGAGTAGAGCTGGAGGGGACCCCAAGTATCATGAAGTCCAATCCCTGATAGTGCAGGAAATCCAAATCTAAAACATTCCTTATAGATGGCCATCCAACCCTTTTTAATACATCTCAAATATGCAAGAATCCTTCCAGGGTCGATTCCATGGTTAAATGTCTTTTCCTGTCATGAACTTCTTTCAAATATTTAGTTGACTTCTCTTTTCTAGTAATTTGAATCAGTTTCTTCAGGTTTTACCCTGTGGGCTGCAGAAAACAAGCTTTCTGCCTCTTCTATGTGAAAACCTTTCAAATATTTAAGATGGTTGGCATATTATTTTTCTGCTTTCTCTTCTCCAGAGTAAACATACCCAAATCTTTTCTTAATAGGGCTGGATTTCTAGACCTTTTACCTTTGTGATCACCTTCCTCTGCACATGTCCCTCTTGTTGATCCCTTATTTTATTTTTGTTTTTTGCTGCTGTATCACACTGTTCACTCCTGTTTAACTTGTGGTCAACTATAACTCTTAGATCCTTTTCACACATTTTATTGCCAGGCCAGATGTCACTCATCTGATATTTGTGTGTCTGCTTTTTTCCTCCCTAAATGTAGAGCTCTAAATTTTTTTTCTTGTGGAAACTCATTTTGCTTATTTTAACCCAGTTCTTCAGTCTGCTGTAATTATCTGGAATCATTTTTTGTTTTCTGAAGGATTACCTACTCCAACAGGTTTGGTGTCATCTGAAAATGCAGTCTACTCTGTTTTTTAATGAGACACCCCTTGGTGTCCTGTTTTCAGTGTTGTCATATTATGCTTAGTGCTGTTCGACCAATAAACTAAGTTATTTTTCTAGTGGTTTATTATAGTTTAAACTATAATATTTTAAAACCATAACATTTGTTGATAATGTTATTTCTTTCATAAGTTGCTGATAACATTTGAACTAAAAAAATCCATCCACACATATTCTGGTGCCCATTGAAACATGGTCAAATAACTTTGGTTATTACTGTAAAATGTGGTCACATTTGAATGAGCTATCCAATTAAAGAACAATATGTTGATTTAATTTAGACATCACGTATGCACCCAAGACGGGCCCTGGGATTCCACAGCCTCTCCTTCCCAATGTGCATCTCAGAATCCTGTGGGATATAGTTCACTTGGGGAGTACTCCAGTTGTCCATATTCACCTGATGCTGCACCAAATTCGTATACATTTACCAACTTCCAGCATGAGAGCAACAACAGACTCTTCCAGTCTTCTAGACAGGACAAAGACTATGGGAAACAGATGTCTCCCATCAGGAAGGAAGCTGCATATCATTCCAGGGTAAGTTATGGTTGTGTTGATATCTTGCTATGTTATTTCTATGTGTTTTACTAGTACCAGAAACTGGAGTGCAGTTATAGGCTTGTCTGGAGTGTTCCACTGTTGAGTTCTAGGAGTATTCTGTCCTAGTCATAGCTGTTCTGCAATGAGGTACTTCAGCATTCTCTGCCATCTTAATAGGAGAACTATTTGCAACCAGCATAGATTGCACACTGAGCAAATTGTGCAACTATATCCCTAACTTCTGATTTCCTTATGTTGTTTACTGGGGTTCATTGAGAATCAAAAGCTTTCTATGTTTTCCAGCTGTTTATATTAAAAGTCATTATTATAAAGTGAAATAGATTCCTAGCTAATAGAATTCTTTAAAATGTTACCCAATTCTGTGTGTGCAGTGAGCACCTCCGCCAGGTATGGTGGTAATGTCTGCTAGCACATTGTTTTATGAATATAGTTTGCAGAGGTGTTTTTGACATGGGTATTTGGCCTTCAGAACATACAAAAACTGAATTCCAAAAGTGAATGCTTTGCCATTAACTACTGAACAGCAGACAGCACTATCTGCCACTGTTAGTTGAAATTGTAATGAAATACAACATACAGATGTAATGTGTTAAGCAATAAAGTATTTACAAAAAAAGTATTCTGAAATTAATTTTCCTTATTATTTTACATAGAGACAACCAAAAGATCTTGAACAAAAATTGGAAAACAAGAAGTCTGATGGGAGTGATTTTACTAGCAGAACAACAGAGAATTTGTCTTACACTACTCTGCACGGCAGAAATATTAATAAATCAGGTACATTAAGATTATTAATTTGTTGTTCTGTAGATTTGCCATTAGAAAAAAGCCAAAATATGTGTTTGGATGACATTCTGGTATTATGTATAGTTAGACACCTTCATGTGTGTGTGTTTAGTCGTTTAGTCGTGTCCGACTCTTCGTGACCCCATGGACCAGAGCATGCCAGGCCCTCCTATCTTCCACTGCCTCCCGGAGTTGTGTCAAATTCATGTTGGTTGCTTCGCAGACACTGTCCAGCCATCTCATCCTCAGTCGTCCCCTTCTCCTCTTGCCATCACACCTTTCTAACATCAAGGTTTTTTCCAAGGACTCTTTTCTTCTCAGCTTCAGGATCTGTCCTTCCAGTGAGCACTCAGGGTTGATTTCCTTTAGAACTGATAGGTTTGTTCTCCTTGCAGTCCAGGGGATTCTCAAGAGGTTGTTGATATTTCTTCCGGCAATCTTAATTCCGGCTTGGGTTTCTTCCAGTCCAGCCTTCCGCATGATGTATTCTGCATATAAGTTAAATAAGCTGGGGGACAATATACAGCCTTGCCGTACTCCTTTCCCAATTTTGAACCACTCAGTTGTTCCATGACCAGTTCTGACTGTTGCTTCCTGTCCCACATATAGGTTTCTCAGGAGATGGATAAGGTGGTCAGGCACTCCCATTTCTTTAAGAACTTGCCATAGTTTGCTGTGGTCCACACAGTCAAAGGCTTTCGCATAGTCAATGAAGCAGAAGTAGATATTTTTCTGGAACTCTCTGGCTTTCTCCATAATGCAGCGCAAGTTAGCAATTTGGTCTCGAGTTCCTCTGCCTCTTCGGAATCCAGCTTGTACTTCTGGGAGTTCTCGGTCCACATACTGCTGAAGCCTACCTTGGAGGATTTTGAGCATAACCTTGCTAGCATGTGAAATGAGTGCAATTGTACGGTAGTTGGAGCATTCTTTGGCACTGCCTTTCTTTGGGATTGGGATGTAGACTGATCTTTTCCAATCCTCTGGCCACTGTTGGGTTTTCCAAACTTGCTGACATATTGAATGTAGCACCTTAACAGCATCATCTTTCAAGATTTTAAATAGTTCAACTGGAATGCCATCACCTCCACTGGCCTTGTTGTTAGCCAGGCTTTCTAAAGCCCACTTGACTTCACTCTCCAGGATGTCTGGCTCAAGGTCAGACTCCTTCATAAATCACCTTAATTTTAAGTGTCATTAGTGATCATGACTGACAGATTTTTCTGGTGGAAATGGCTCATCTCTGGTGATCAGTTTTGTTCAAAAAAGACTATTTGTATTAATTTTAAAAAATAAACTATTGAAAATCCTGTTGCTTAGCATACTAAATCCCTCTAAAGTTGAACTATTGAATGAATTACTCTAAAAGTTCCATTGATTAATGAGTCAACTCTGTTGCTTCAAAGAGGCCTCGTCTGTTACTTACTATGCTAAAGTAAGTGGCAATTAGAGTAGGCCCATTTGAATCAGTGGAACTTGAGGAGTGACTCACCACATCCCCATTGATTCAGTAGGGCCTATTCTAGTGTGATGTACTGTGCTAAGCAACAGGATTTTGGCCCAAATGTATTTGTTAGTGTTCCACACCTTTAATTTGAAAAATTCCGAAATATTTGGGTTAGGTTAAACTGCAAAATTTATTAGTTCACATTGAGGAGCTCCTTTTAAATATTTCCAAAAATGAATTGCAAAGATTCCCATAGAAATCCATGAAGACAGATTTTCATGTGCTTGCAAGTTCCAACACGTGTTCATTTTAATCCCCAAGTAAACACCGAAAGCAACTTGCAGTGTACCAATGGAGAATGACTATGCTCAGTGGCTTTTGGTGGAGCTGGTGATGGGGAGGATAAACAGATAGTAAATAAGTAGAGGAATGAAACGGAGCATCAGGAATTCTGAATGAAAGCACTCCAAAGGGCAAGATTTTGTCATGTTTATTTACTTGCCTGCAACAATAATTAGAATAAACCTGTAGCAGATAATGAGAGTAAAATCTAATGATACATTAACTCTTTTACTAGACAGAACTACTAAAGCCATGAATACAAGATTCAAACAGATTCAAAACAGTGAGCGGCTTCCAGAACCTGCCTTTGAAATTACTTTCGCAGATTTTCCAAAATTGCAAGCCATGGGAAATAGTGATCTGCTGGATCTTCAAAAACGTACGTTGGGACCATTGGGCTTGGCTGAAGGAGATAAGCTGCCTCTGAAAACTCTGGGGAAAAATGGAATTTCAGATTTTATCACCAAAGAGGTTAGCTACTTGATAGTTTTTGGAGGACTGAACAATATTTTGTTGATATGAACTATTTCTCTCTCTAGTGTATTATCACTAAGAGCAAAACCTTGTTGGTGTAGTTACACTGCTGTAAAGTGATTCTGAGTGCTACAAATAATTAATTTTGTTTGTTCATTTATTTAAAATGCATTATACTGCCTGTCATGATTCCACATGGCCCGATTGTTTCACCAAACTAGGAGTTCACACTACGTGCCCCTCAGCTGCCACCAGTTGATTTCATCAAGAATACCTAATACTGTATGAATGATAGCTGTCCAGACCACATGTCATTTTAAAAGAACCAAATAGAAATTGTTTATTGATACAGGTGTTGACAGAACAAGCCATGTTGTTAACTCTTAAACATTCTTCTTTATCCACCCTCAAACACCATTCTCCCACCCAGACTCCAAAACCCTCTCAGCTTTCTAACTCTCTATCTCAAAGACCCTAACTCTCTCTATCTCAACTCCTCCTGCTGCTGCCGAGTCTCTTATACCTTGTGACTCTGCCCCTCCAAGCACTCCCATTGGTCTGTGCAAATAGCATATGAATATTCATGACAAATGCTACACTGCTTTTCTCCTAAAAAAGGACCCAAGGCAGCTTATATAATTAAAAACAATATTAAAATTGAAAAAAGTAAATTATTCAAACATTAAAGAAGAATCAAGAGCAAAAACCTTAAGTAAAAGCATTATGAAAAACTCATTTAGATGCAGCAAAATATAAACCATCCTGTTTGTCTCCTAGACCAGTGGTCCCCAACCTTGGGCCTCCAGAGGTTCTTGGACTTCAACTCCCAGAAATCCTGGCCAGCAGAGGTGGTGGTGAAGGCTTCTGGGAGTTGTAGTCCAAGAACATCTGGAGGCCCAAGGTTGGGGACCACTGTCCTAGACAGTCAGTTTCGTTAAAAGCAGCACTTTGAATTGTGCCTGGAAGTTGATCAGTAATCAGTGGAGCTGCTGTAATAGGGAGCTTATGTGAATCCTTGTAACCAGCCCCAGTTAACAATCTGGCTGCAGCATTGTGTACCCGCTGAAGTTTTCAAGTTCCTTCCGAAGGGAGCCGCACATAGAGCACATTACAGTAATCAGCTGGGCTGCAACTTAGGTTTGTGTCACTGAGGCCAAGGTAGACCTCTCCAGCAATGGGTGCAGCTGTCACAGTAGTTTTAACTGTGCAAAGGCACCCCTGGCCACCACTGAAACCTGGGCAGTCTAGGCACAGAGACAAATCCAGGAACACACCCAAGCTGCACACCTGTGTTTTCAGAGGTTGTGTAACCCCACCCAATACAGGCTGAATCCCTATTCTTAGATCTGCCTTTCAATTGACCAGGAGCACCTCTGTCTTGTCTGCTTTAAGTTTCAGTTTATTTGTCCTCATCCAGTCCATTACTAACATCAGACACTGATCTAGAACTTTAACTTTAAATTAACAGAAAGCTCCTTATCGTCCTCCTTTCAGGTTCCAAGGCTTCTTAAGGATCTCACCCTAGGAAGGCCTTTGGGAACAGTGGGAGAATGGGGGCGGGAGAGCTTTTAATTGTCAAAATCATCACTGGCCATTAGTGATTTTTGACTATTGAAAGCTTTCCTCCCATCACACTATACTGGTAGGATTTTGCCCACTATGTAATAACAAAAAATGTACCCTGCTTCCCCTAAAATAAGACCTAACCTGAAAATAAGCCCTAGTATGATTTTTCAGGATGCTCATGATATAAGTCCTACCCCCCAAAATAAGCCTCAGTTAAGTGAAACTCCGTGCTCCACCATTGTGCAGAAACCAGAAGAAGACAACATGACTGTATCTGAATAAATGTAGATTGTTGTACATGAAAAAAATAAAGCATCCCCTGAAAATAAGCTCTAATGCATTTTTTGGAGCAAAACTTAATATAAAACCCTGTCTTATTTTCGGGAAAACAGGGTATTAAGAATAGGTAGGTACTTTATCTCATTAGTAGTATGAGATTATACCACTAGATAAGGAACAACATTTTTCATCAGCAGTTTATATTTTCCCTGAGGTTCTTTAACCCAATAGTATTTTTAAGTCTTGTCTTTCTCTTAGAGTTGTGTTTCTGTAACATTTTGGAAATAATTTTATCTGGAATATTTACTTCATATAATATTTCTCTTTTATCAGTTAACAAGAAGGCTCTTATTTCTGATTCATTTTAATAAGGATAGGATATAGAAATTGACAGGAAATGATATTGGAGAAAATGATCTAGATTTAGATGTAGTGACTTAATTTTCTTATTTGACTATTTAGTTGTTTTTTTAAAATACTGTTGTAGTTTTACATGCATTTCTCTCACTGCAGTTCAATTTGGTGATCATAGCTTATTCCTTGCCCATGTAACATAGGAACCTGCTTAAAGGATTAAAACTTCTGGAAAAATTTTATTTCTGACTCCTAGTTTTTTGTGATTTTCTAATTAACTTATTTAATTAGTAATTGATGAATTATTTTTGAACACAAACTACATATTTACGTTTAGACAAACAGTATTTGTATAGTTTCCACTCTATCCCTTATTTTTGTATGTATCGTTGAAAATACTTTTTGGAGAGCTATTTCATCAGTTTTAAATACTTCCTTTAATACAGTAGTCTATAATGTGAATATATGATGTAAACAGAAATGATTACTAATCCATGGGGGAAACTATAAGATTTGTTACTTAGCATAGTAAATTATTCTAAAGTATACTCTTTGAATCAGTGGGAATTTGGTAAGTCAACTCCTCTAAGTTCCATCAGTTCCAATAAGTCTACTCTAGTTGTGACTTACTAAAATGACTTGCAGCCATAGTAAGCCTATTTGAAATGTTGGGACATATGGAGCAGTTGACTCACCAAGTCCCAAGATAGATAGATAGATAGATAGATAGATAGATAGATAGATAGATAGATAGATAGATAGATAGATAGATAGATAGATAGATAATCTTCAGATTGCTTCTAAGGCTGCTGGTGGTGATGGATGTTATCTAATGTGCTAAATAAATTGTAAATTGTGATTTGCACTGAAGATTGCAATAATCACTGCAGGGTGAAGTATCTCTGAAAAAACAATTCCCATCAAGACCTTTAAGTTCCTCATCTGATCCTGGAAGTAAGTATAGTTGCAGACCTTGCTTTACTGTTTTGTCCGCTCCATATAAGATTTCATTCTCCACTCTCTACTTAATCCACAGAAGCTTTTAAGAAGTTCTTAAAAGATGCAGAAGAATTACGTGTCTCTTTTTAATAGAAATATATTAAAAATCTGGAGGTATTAAAGGCTGACTAGAGAATTTCTGAGTGCTGTAAACATTTGAAATAGCTCAGTGAGTTATGTATATGCCTTGCAGAATCAGAGGTTAGGAGTTTGATTCCCTCCTTTATTTCCCAGGAGAAGAGCTAGCCTGTATAATGTTGAATAAGCTGCATAGGCCCAGAAATAGCCTCTGAAGAAGGGAATAGTAAACCACTTCTGAATACTCTATACCTAGGAAAACGTGGAAAGGCCACCATCAGTCAGAATTGATTTGATGCATAATATGTCTGCATTTTCAGTACGTTTCATATGATTTTCAGTTACGACTATAATTTTTAGCATTCAACATGCCATATTATTAGGATAAGAAAACTAATGTTTCACAATTTTAGATAGATGTATCTGGTGGATATTTGTAGGTAGGTATGGCATATCAATTCTGCAGACCTGTTTGAATGATAAGAGGTTTTGCATATCTCCCCAGATGACACCTTCTACAGTGAAAAAAATAATATGAAAATTTGGCCTAGGCCTCCTTAAAGATTTAGGAGCTGGAGTTATTTGTGAAGTTTGAACACTGTGTTCTGTCAATTATCAGTTCCTCAGGCATACTCAGACCTTTTCACTGAAAGACTGTCTTCAGCCAAGGTGCCAACTCAGCCTCACAAGAGAGGTGTTTCAATGACAGATGCAGTCCTCACCAGCAGTTCAGGCAACAAAGGAAAAGTGGGTGCTTCTGCAGATTGTAAGGTAGGAAGATTAGTTTCCAAGTTTTTTCAATATTATTCATTTTTCTAATATTATCTTTTGGATACATGTTATCCAGAACTTTGTACATGTTGATTTTTAAAAGACATACAGTGGTGCCTCGCACAACGAGTGCACCGTAGAGCGATGAATTCGCTCTACGAGGACGTTTTCGCGATTGCTAATACGATCGCATACCGATGGCCCCTATGGCCGAAAATCGCAGAGCAAAGGTCGGTAAGCGGTTCGCTTACCGACCTTCGCTTTGCGACCCGCCGATCAGCTGTTCGGCGGCTACAAAATGGCCACCGGAAGTCGCAAAATGGCCATGTGCAGCGTTTTCGTGCCCTCGTTAAGCGAGGGGAGGGTGCGAAAATGGCTGCCGGCCATAGAGGAACATCGCTGAACGATGAGTAAAGGAGCAGCGATGTTTTCGTTCCAATTGGCTTTTCTGTCCCGCTCAGCGATGTTTTCACACAGCGAGGGTTAATCTGGAACGGATTAACCTCGCTGTGCGAGGCACCACTGTATATTTGTAAGGGTCAAAGTATGTGTGGGAGAGCAGTTCAGTGCAGAAAAAGCTGACATGAGAGTATTGCTATTTGTCTTGGGTAATAATAAAAAGCAATAGGAATCCTGTTTCTCTGTATTTGTTTTTTATCTTATCTTTCTCCTTGATACCTTATTTCTATCATTTCCAAGGGAGAGAGATAAAGGAGACAATGTTTAATTGATCAACTGAAATCTTAATGTGAAGAATGAATTGGAAGGATCTGTCCTGTTTCTTAAGTGTTAATGGCTACTAAGTACTGATGATTCTCTATGATCTCCCTTCCTTACTACAGCCCCCTTTGAACCTCATACACCATTTTGGAGTAGCAGCATGACACTGGATTTAGGTCCCATCTTCCTTTTTTATTTCCTTTCTTATTTTACATCGTAAATATCTCATTGTTCTGCCCATAATGGTATAAATCTACTATTGTTTCTGTCACATGGAAGACACTGTCTCTCGATCATTCTCTATTTTTATCTTTCACTTGGAACAGTTTTGAATATTTTATTCTTATTCAGTGGCAGAAATCCTGTTGGCATAGCTGTACCAGAAGAAGGTTGATAACATCACCAGCATGGGAAGATTTTCTTTTTTTTTGTAAAGAAAAATTCCCCTCTTTTCTCCCACTGCTTTTCTGACTTTCAAGTACTGTAATCCCTTTCATCACATGGGGGCCACAGGATGGGGAGGTAAATTAATCTTGAAGTGGGGCATAAGGAGGAAGTCTTATTACCAAAAAAACATAATTGCCAGATTACTTTATTAGCTGGGGGAAAACTTTGGTGTTGAAAGTCTTCCTCCTCCCAACCCTTGGCTCCCACACAATTAAAGAGATTAGTGAAAGTCAGAAAAGCCACAAGTGAGAAGGAAGAAGTAGATATCTTCCGCTGCTAGTGATGTCATCGCCTTCAGGTGGTGTGGCTACACGAACAGGATGCTAGTGATGCGTTCTTTGCAAAATCAGGTTGCCAATTTTTTGTTCTCTTGATTTCTCCTCAGCAACCATTCTGTTCTTAAAGTTATGCTTGGATTTAAAAAAAATAAGCTTTTTTGCTTTGCTTTGCTTTCTATTAGTCATATTTTTTCCTTGACTGTGCCTTCTTCTCCATCTCCACTCATGTTGCCTGTTTGGAAATCAGGTTTTGTTATTCCTCCCCTGGCAATAAGGAAACCTGATTTCCAAATAGGTAATATGAGGAGTGGGGAGAAGGCATATTCAAGGTGTACCTTTGATCCTGGGGACTGAGTGGAAAATTCCAACCAAATGGCACCTCCGGTGAGGCATATGAAAACTTTTTCTCCTGAACTGGTTGAAACCAGCTTTCAGCCCACCTTAAGCAACGTGCATGGTGTATCATCATCTCTGCCATGACCATGTTGGGACTTTCATTCATAATTTTTCTACTCTACACCAGAGGAAAAGAATTTTATTCATGAAAGCTTATGTTTACAGTTTTATTTTTAGTGGTCCAAAGAAAGGTACTGTATCACCTCTTCTAATTTTGGATTGCATAAACATTTGGCATTTCCAGCTACAAAGTATTTTTTTCTCCTGCTAAAACACTGCTTGTTTCTGTCTTCTGTCTTGATGGTTGGAATTAACATCTTTCTAGCTTCCTTGCTTCTCTCTCATTATTATTACTGCTGCCTATTTCAGTATTTTGTTTTAGCTCTGGTAGTATTTCACCTGTTTTATTTTTTCCATTAGTTCCAATTTCCTTTCCAGATTAAGATACTGCTTTTGTCAGGGTCTACTGATAGAAGAAACTAAGTCAGCAGATCCAGGGATATGCATCCTCTCTCCGCCCATGTCCACAATAGGAGTCCCACTGCTCTGGGTAGCCCTTTGTATTAATCAGTCATTCCGCTCTGGAGACTTTTCAAGCCCACTGAGTAGATACTGAGCATCTGGAAGCTGTGTGCAGAGGAGAAGGACATCCTTCTGGATCCATTAGCAGATGCACTCAGTTGGATTTTGGCTTTCTTTTTGTTGAAATCTTTTTGTTCTTTGGCTGCCCCCTACACCAGTGGTTCTTAAACTTTTCTTTACCATGGGTCTCTTTTAATATATTTTGTTACTGTGGACCACCAAAACTTAACTCAAGATTTAAAACCCTAAAGTTCATCAAATATTTATTTAAAGTTTCTCATGAAGGGTCTCAATTAACAGATATTCCTTGTGATAACGGCAATACTTTTTTAAGATAACTGGAAGAAGCTTCATTCTGCTTTGAACAGAATGCACCCTCATCAACAGCATAAGTTCTTTTATGTTTAAAATTCAGCCAGTGATCCTCTCTGAGGCTCAGCCAAAATGTATAACATTACAAAATTCACTGCAATAATATCAAAAAGTCACTTTACCCAACAATAACCAATTAGTTTTATTAGTACAAATCAAAGAAGAAATACAAAGTCGTTCAAACCCTCACTCACACTGATACTTACTGACTCTGACTCTCTCTTCCTGCCCTGAGACTGTCTGCGCAGTAGCAAGAAATGTCATATCCTGTCTCTCAGCCACTCGGCATCAGTCACTTGCATATTCTCACCATGTGCAGAACTATCAAACAGTTATTTTGTAACGGATTTTTTACTTTTGTTTTTAATAGAGGCAGTAGTTTAGAAAAGCCAAGTTTTAGACAAACAAGCAAGGGAAATTAAGATTTTGTCCTATGGTTCCTTTTATTTCTTGCTTTTTTAATTCATTAATTATTTTTATTTTAACTGCAAAAAAAATCACAACATTTCTTCAAACCTTCATGGACTCCCTGTGAGGACATCGACGGACCACGAGTTAAGAATCTATGCCCTACACTCCCTTCTGTCCATTGTCTTATTGTCTCTGAAGATACTTTTTCTCTCTCCTGACTGGTTTTTTCTCTCATCTTTTTTCTTTCACTGCTCATTTTCTTGGCACACCCATGCCTGCTTTCAGTCTTGCAAGAATTCATTTAAACAGTATTTGAAACTGTTCTATCAAGACTTGGACTCTGATGTCTGTCTGTGCCCTTCTTTTTGTGTCTCTTTCTTTTCCCTTTTTTGTCTGTCTTAACTAGCAAGCCTGCAGACAAGGATTTAAGTAACTGTTTAAAAACTGCTTCCGTTTTGTCAATAAATACTATTTGTGTTGTTATAATTATTAAGTAATGCCATTATATGACTATTAAATTATTAGGTGAGCATTAATTAACTCTTTTGAACATTGTTCATTTCATATTTTAATATGATGAATTCTATTTTATTTTGTTTGACTTCAAAATAAGAAAGATCATGCTGTCCCCAGTTTTGTGTGGTGTTGGTTATATCAGTCATTCTGTTAGCCAGGTTGCCTGCTCTGAAATATATTGTCATTCATTCATTCATTCATTCATTCATTCATTCATTCATTCATTCATTCAGAATATTTTTACCCCACATTTCTCCTTGAAAAGGACCCAAGGTGGCTTACAGTAATGAAAGACAATAAAGTTGAAAACAATGAGTATAGAATGGTGGTTAGCATCATTAAAAGACTATATTTAAAACTACAAACAATAAGGAGGCATCTTGCAACATTATCAGGCAATATAAAGGCAAAGATGAATAAGTATACAAAAAAAATCACTGAGAAATGGAAAACACAAAAATGGAAAATACAGGTACTAAAAATCCAGTCGAAGCAAGCATGCATACAGTTTATCTAAAACACACACACACACACACCTGGTTTACTGAGGGAAGTCTTGCCTGAAGAGAAAGGTCTTTGCCTGCTTGCAAAAGGACAGCAAAGACTGGTTTGGCTTTCTGTGGGAGGGAGTTCCAAAGTCTATGTATAACAATAGAGAAGGCTGTCTTCTGTGTCACCGTCAAATGCACCTGTGAAAGTGGTGGGACATACTGTCAGAGTATTTATTTTCCGAACTACTGTAATTAAGTGCTTAGGCTGGCTTGTGCCTTTCTCTTTTTTTTACTCTGATGTTTACATTTTCTAACATTTAGGAAGTTTAAAGTGGAATTATATATCCAGTTTCAGCATATGAGTAGTGTTGGGTATATTGATTAGTTCATTTGATATCAGGCCCTCTGTGGCATTGTAGAATATTATACTTTGATGCACTGGTACTATATTGCGAATCAATGATGGAATTTGTATTAAATTTTCAGCCGTTGGGAGCCATTTTGCCATATAATTCCAGAGCAGAATCATTAAAAGAAGAAAGTCACCTCATATTCTGTTTGCAGGATTATCACTGTAGTTTTAATGTGACTACTTTGCTATGAAAACTTGAGTTGACTGTATTAAAAAGTTCTACTGTTTTCACAATAGTCAGAAACAAAAGAGAATGCTAGTGACAATGAATTTGAAGAGACAGCAGACAAAAAGAAGAAAAAGAAGAGAAAGAAGAAGAAAGCCAAATCAAACAGTGAGATGGGGGAACCAAACGTATTTCAAGAACCTCCAAGAATTGAGGTACAGAAACTGATAAATTTGTGTGTGTACTGTTCTGAGAATTACAGGCCAACTTGGATTTGTACAAATTTTGGAGTCACTGGTGGTGCATGAGAGGAGACAATCATTTTTTCATGTATGGACTGACACTACGTAATTATGCTTGCAAAAAGCTGATAATGTCATCAGGAGGGGGCCAGTTTTCCATAATTAGAAAGTTCTTACTTCTCTTCTGTGGCTTTCCTGAATCTGTGTAGTCCCATTTTGTAGAAGCCAGGGGAGCCATGGGACAAGAGGAGGAAGTACTTAATTATCAGAAATTGCTGTCACTGAATGACATTACCAGTAGGGGGAGTTTGGTAATCAAAGACTTCATCTTACTGTTCTGTGGCTCCGACGGCTTCCATATGATGAACTGATGACACAGGAGTCAGAAAAGCCATGAGACAGAAATAAGAGGTTTTCATTACTTAAAATCACCCCCTGCTGCTGATGTTATCATCCTTCCACAAGTATTAATTATGCAACAGGATTAATTTGATATTGGAGAATCAGATTTCAGATAAACAAATATCTCCACCAACATAAAGAATTCTTTTTTCAGACTGAGTATATGAATTCAGATTATATAGTGACTCCAGCTCTAGCCACCATATAGTAATGTTTTATGACTGATTTCCGTGGTATATTTCCCAAAGAAACAAATCATGGACACTGCTCCTCCTGCTCCCAATTTGTTCTGACTACCATTCACTGATGCTGTATTTCTACCTCTTGCTCCTTAAATCTTCTGAAAGCTTGAGTCTCTACTTGTGCTCTTTGCTTAAGTAGAAAATATACAATGCCAATACATAGTAAAAATGGTGCCCTCCCTCCAAAGGACTAGTTTTTGGTGGAACGCATCTAATTTTGGAATGTGTTTTCTAGGTAAACAATCTATAGTAGTGCTATTTTGGATTTGTCTCTTTTAAAATACAGACTTAAATATCAGCTGCCTCCCTTTTTTGAGTAGATATGACATATTTAGGGTAAAACAAATTGGTCTAAGAAATTGATCTGCTTGTACAATGAGTCTGAAGTCTAATGTTTTGTTGATTGCTTGCTTTGTTACATAGTGTTTTTTAAAAGTCTGACATAAAGACAGGCTTCCTTTTCACAACACTGATATTTGTGTGTCCAAACCTGTGTTCATTTCATCTCTTCCACACTACTGATGCATTGTGAAGAAAGAGATGTTGGTAGTGTAGTAATTCTTGGGTTGGCTACCAAAAAGTTGCATTGCTGCCTGTATTTTGGGTCAGATGTTGATCTCTGGCCTGAATTTTTTTTGTTTTGGGGCATGTCTCTTCAGCCATAACTTCTTGCTTCAAACATTTTTTCCACATTGAATGTTAACATATATTGTTAAAAAAATCATATTTCAGTAATTGAGACTTGGTTGCGTTATTAGCTTTGCCAAACTTCTGGAACATTTTAACTATTTAATAATCACTTTTTCAATTCCATTTATTTCAAAGGGGAGATAACACAGTTTTTAAGGTTTTCCTTTGAAATATGGGTATAAAAGTGGTTAACTAGTGGGATCATGCCCTTTCTTCACTAAATTAAAATGAATAGCTTAATTAAAGCTACTTAGTATTTACATTCTGGATTATAGTCTGCAAATCAGTTCACATATATACACAATACATTGTTTGCAACAATCATATAATGTAGGCTATTATTGGCCTCATCTTGCAGATGGGGTACATGGGAGAGAGGAATTTTGAATGTTAAAATTGCATTTCTTAGAGCTTAGAATCTTTCCTAGTACAGTGGTGCCTCGCTTAACGAGTGCACCGTTTAACGAAGAATCCGTATAGCGATCCCTTTTTGGGGATCGCTATACGGATCTGCCCCAATCGCCGCACTCGCTTTGCGACGATTGGGGCGTCCGGCGGCCATTTTGGAG